TCTTCGGATTTCCTCTTGATTTCTCCTCATTTGTACACCAGATTTCCCTCGATTTTGAGTCAAAGACACAGAATTGTAATTCTTGACTGTTAAAGAGTCTTCAATATTAAATCTTTGGGGTTTCCAGAATATGAGACAATAGACAAAAATTGAGAAGAAATATAATGAGAATTGGAAATTGAGAAAAATTTCTGGACAAGTTTCTTGACAAGTAGGAATATAAGTATTTTCTCTATTCTAGGCTCTTGAATTCTCTCAATTAAGAGGAATTCGAAAAAAATTCAACAGAGCAGGTCAGTTTTTGTATACCAGATTGCGGTTTCAAGGGAAATCATGGATGATAAGCATGATTCCCTCTAACTTCTCAAGATTTCCCCTGATTTCTTCCGATCATCAGTAAGATTGTACAAGACCCTGACTCTTTAAGATTTCCCCCGAGTTCCTTAAGACTTTCCTCGAATTTCTCATGATTTCCTTAATAGTTCCTCTGATTGCCTTAAATTTTCTGGGATTTACCCCTTATTTCTTAAGATTTCCCTTGATTTCTTCATGATTTCCTCTAATTTCCTCATAATTTTCCCTGATTGCCTTTTATTTCTTCGGATTTCCTCTTGATTTTCCCTCATTTGTACACCAGATTTCCCTCGATTTTGAGTCAAAGACACACAGAATATGATTCTTGACTGTCAAAAAGTATTTGATATTGAATCTTTAAGATTTACACTTACTTGTTTTGTCTAAGTTTCAATATTAACTGTTGAACTTAGTGGCAAAATGTCTCTAGAATTGTTTTACTTAACCGCAGTATCAAAATCTTTAAGCTTGATTTCTTATAGTTTTTCAGGTGAAGTCTCAAATTTTCATTAGAGTCTCTAGAATCTTGACTTAAAGTTTTCCGGAAGACTTTGAAATCAGAAATCTTGTCTTTTCGAATGACATTATTGACTCTAGATAAAAAAAACATTTTTAGTCGAAGATTCTTAAAATTGAGATTTTTCACTCTTCAATATTGTGTATTTGGGGTTTTTAAAATATTCTTAGATTTTAAAGATATGAATCTTGTCTCTCTGATTATAAGTCTTGACTGCCTAGAATCTTCTAGCAGTATTTGTAGTTGGATTAGGTATTTGTAAATTTTTGGACTTTCCAACTTGATGTTCCAAAGTTTCCAGTACCTACGAATTTCTATGTCACTAAAGTTTTGACTCAAGAGTTTTCAGTATTGACTCTTTGTAGTTTCTCGGATTTGTGATTTTAAAAATGGGAAATCTTGTCTTTTTTAACTGTCACAATTCATTCTTGATTTAAGAATTTTGACTCAAATACGTCTTGACTGCAGTACCTAGGTACCTATCTACTGTTGAGAGATTTGAGAATCTTGAGATTCTCAGAATTGAAGGTTTTGACTGTTGAAGAATCTTCAATATTGATGTCTTTGGGGTTTCGAGAATATAAGGCTTTAAAGACTAGAATCTTATCTGTTTCGATTTTCAATATTAACTGTTGAACCAAACATTTTGACTCAAATGTCCTTAGGATTGTTAGTCTTGACTGCAGTATCTACTGTTGAGAGATTTCAAAATCTTGAGATTCTTGTCTTTTCAATATTAAGTCTTCAGGGTTTTTAGAATATAAAACTTGAAAGAAGAGAATTTTATCTGTTTCGATTTTCAATATCAACTCTTAAACCAAAGATTTTTACTCAAATGCCCTTAGGATTGTTAGTCTTCACTGCAGTATCTACTGTTGAGAGATTTCAAAATCTTGAAATTCTTGATTGTTAAGAGTCTTTTCAATATTGAATCTTCGGGGTTTTCAGAATATAAAACTTGAAAGACGAAAATCTTGTCTCTTTTGAGTGACAGTATTGACTCTAGAACTAAACATTTTGACTTAAATTTTTTCAGAATTGAAAGTCTTGACTATTAAAGAATCTTCAATATTGACATCTTTGGGGTTTCGAGAATATGAGGCTTTAATAACTAAAATCTTATCTGTTTCTATTTTCAATATTAGTTCTTGAATCAAAAATTTTGACTGAAATGCCCTTAAGATTGTTAGTCTTCACTGCAGTATCTACTGTTGAGAGATTTCAAAATCTTGAGATTCTTGATTGTTAAGAGTCTCTCTTCGGGATTTTTAGAATATAAAACTTGAAAGACGAGAATCTTGTCTCTTTCAAGTGACAGTATTGACTCTAGAACTAAACATTTTGACTCAAAATTTCCCAAAATTGATGGTCTTAACTGTTAAAGAATCTTCAATATTGATGTCTTTGGGGTTTCGAGAATATAAGACTTTAAATACTAGAATCTTATCTGATTTGATTTTCAATATTAACTCTTGAACCAAAAATTTTGACTTGAATGCCCTTAGGATTGTTAGTTTGACGCAGTATCTACTGTTGAGAGATTTCAAAATCTTGAGATTCTTGATTATTAAGACTGTTTTCAATATTGAGTCTTTGGGGTTTTTAGAATATAAAGCTTGGAAGACGAGAATTTTATCTATTTCGATTTTCAATATTAACTCTTGAACCAAAGATTTTGACTTAAATGCCCTTAGGATTGTTAGTCTTGACTGCAGTATCTACTGTTGAGAGATTTCAAAATCTTGAGATGCTTGATTATTTAGAGTCTTTTCAATATTGAGTCTTCAGGGTTTTCAGAATATAAAACTTGAAAGACGAGAATCTTGTCTCCTTCGAGTGACAGTATTGAATCAAGAACTAAACATTTTGACTCAAAGATTTCCAGAATTGAAGGTTTTGACTGTTGGAGAATCTTCAATATTGATGCCTTTGGGGTTTCGATAGTGTTAGACTTTAAAGACGAGAATTTTATATATTTCGATTTCCAATATTAGCTCTTGAATCTAGAATCTTCCAGCAGTATCTGCATTTGAATCATTTCAAGATCTCCGAACTTGATTTTTCATAGTTTTTAGTACGAATTCGAGTCTTCCTATAGGTTCTCAAATCTGAGACTTCAAAATCGGTGATTATGTCTTTTCAGAGAGTCAGACTTAAGTCTTCAATCAAATATTTTGACTCGAAGCTTCTCAGAATTGTGAGTGTTGACTTTTCAGAGTCTTGTAGATCACAATTTGAAGTCTACAGTCTTCGGAGTTTCTAGAATCTTGATATAGAGTTTCTAGAAGCTGAGATATTAAAATCGGAAATCTAGTTTTTTCAAGTGACAATATTGACTCTAGAACCAAATATTTTGACTCAAAGATTCTCAGAATTGAGAGTCTCTACTCTTGAGCTTTAAAGGCAAGAATGTTGTCTCTTTTAATATTGACTCTTGGACAATAGTTTTCAGAACGAATTCCCGAGTTTTCAAAATCACTAGGATGTTGATTCAAAATGGAGTTTATGTAGTTTTTCAAGTATGAGATTTCAAAATCAGAAATCTTGTTTCTTCTGATTCCTGAGTGTCAGAATTGACTCTTGAATCAAACATTTTGACTCAAAATTGCTCAGAATTGTAAGTCTTGACTATTCAAGAGAAACAATATTGCTAGGAGACTTTAATGGATGAAGAGCAAGAAAAAAGCAGGCTGATATCAATATGTTATCAAATTAACCTTAAAATTCTATATAGATATTTATTCACCATAGGAAAAACATAAATACACTTGGGAAAATGAAACCAAAGGCATTTGAGAATTGATGAAATTATATAGTTGAAACGCTTGATAGTAATGCAGAAACCAAAATTAAATGGTAAAAGAAGAATACTATTTCAGTTTTCCAAATACATATAGCGTTTGAATATATGGTAATACCTATACCGAGTAGATAGATAATTATTGTCTAACGATTCAGTGAGGAGTAAAACTGAACCTGTTTGATTGGGCTCTCAAAAAGAAAAAGTCCTGGACTTTTTTCTGCTCAATACCTCTTATACTTTTCTTAGAACATAGATAATAAACTTTTCTTTAAGGTTGGCAGACATTACTTCAAAATTTGCAAATATTGCTGGAAGCTTATACGAACTTTTCCAATGGCTATTATGATTTAACGAAGAAGATTGACTACATATCCAAACCATAAAAAGACATACCAAACATTCAACTGAAGAATTGATTCAAGGCAAATAAATCACCAAAAAAAAAAGAAAAAGGCATCCCTTCGACAAAAACCCTATATCCTTTGGTATATAAATATTATATCTCGAGCTAGGTGACAAATGGAATCTGGTTGTGAAAGGTGAATACTTCTCGATTTTTCTAAATATCAGCTGCACGCATGAGGGAGTAATCCCTGACGACGCGGGGGTGGAGTAAACGTCTTGAGCCCTATTCAGCTCGTACAGGAGTCGATTTCGAACCAACAATGCTGATGGGTCGGTTGGGGGGGCCCCCCTTTGGCGTTTTAATGCCGCCACGTCTTAGATATCTTGGCAGTCAACTTCAGAGAAAGGGTGCCTTTATATGGGTGTATATATCGCATTCACTGGAATGGTATTTATGTTGTGATCTATCATCTTGTATTTGTAGGCGAACAATACATTTTTATTGAATGAAAATTGTTGTGGCTGATTTCTTGTTGAAAATGGTTATAACTTAACTATACCTATTTGAATAATGTTTTTAGGAAATCAATACCCAATAGCCAATCATCATAATCACTGTAACCCTTTTGGCTTAATCCCTATGAAAATGATAATATACCTACCATACTTCCCAAAACTATTTGAACATAATCCTGATTGAAAACCATTATTCTTTAGGGAAAGTTTAACCGAAAGAAAAATCAAAACTCATTTCAATACTCAATGAAGAAAATGAAAAGTTCATGTCTCTGCAACCCTTTGAAATGATTGGAGTCTTTCTGTGTTCGAAAGTGTTCCTTTATTTCGAATCCCTTTGAGATAAAATGTGTTTTGCTCTATAACATTGAAACCTCATTCCTTTTAAAATATTAAATCAAATAATGCGTTTCAGTAAAGCAATTTGAATATAAAATTCTTTGATTATACACCTTCACCCTTTACCTTTGTGTGCCATATCGTCGACGGAGGTGATCGCTGAAGGCCATGGCGCCACGGCCGCTCCAAGTTGCTGTGCGGGGAGAATGATGATGGCCTCTTGAAGGATATCGTTGTCCTTCAATACCACACACACCTGGGAAAAAGAACAACATTAGTATCCATCCATATAGACATCAATACGATTAAAGACAAGAAGGTCTTAGGGCAAGGTTCCTAAAGTTAATAGGTTATTTGAAAAGAGGTACCTTATGGAGATTTGTATTATGTTTGTTTAGGCACCCTAGATGACGTCAAAAAAGTTATCAGGCAACCTACCTCTCTCAAACAACCTTGGTCTTGGGGTAGATTAATAGACTCATCATTTATAGTGTTTTCACATAGGTAATATGATTTTTAGATGGCGTCACAGGTAGGTATACAGACCGGACTAACCTATTAGACACAGGAAGTAATAAGACGAATTTGCTTGATCCACCGTGATGATCCTGCAATGGAATGGGTGTCAGTCAACCATTAAAGCCTATGTGTCTAGTAGCACGGTTTTGTCTGAATATTCATTTCACAACAAGTGATGGAGTGAAGCTATTTCATAATCAAAAACTGGTATCGAAAAAAACGGATTTTGTAATACAGTGTAATACTAATAAAAAAATTAAGTATTTCTATTGAATTTTTAATGATTTCACACCTTTATAGAATACAAATACCAAGTAGGTACTTTTAAAGAAAGTGAGATTTTGTAATTTAATTTCCATTTATTAAAGGAACAATTCTCTTCTCGCTATCAGCTCCTGCGTGCAGAGATAAATTGTCGCTAATTAGTAGATAGAGCCCGGGCTCTAAATAAGTGTCTTTCCGCCCTTCGGCGTCCGTAAATACACTAACGGGGGAACGAAATTAATTTCATTAACTTTTATCAATAGAGAGAAATCGCATCAGTGTGTGTATGTGAGGTAATAGAGTGCAACGACACTGAGGCTCTATGAAAGCCAATTTGAGTGTCGGCTTTTCACTTTTCTCGCGGCGGTAAATTCCGACGGGATAAACGAACATTTTTGTTACTTACATGATTTTATGTAAATATTTTAATTAAATTATTCGTTTTTTAAAAAGAACAGTTATTTTCTCAGCTCAATAACCGAATAAGCGAACATAAGTGGTAACACTGTACAAATTTGTCGAGATTTTCTTTTGTCGGGAAAAATATCGGGAAAAATACGGTTCGGTCAGATGGAGTTTGAATTTGGTGACGTTGTGTCCGGATATCTAAGGTTGAGACCAATAGGTATGTACGTGGGTGCCTCTATGGTACGTACTGTCGGGAAAAAATTGATATTGTCCATTGGCCAAATAGTTACATATATACAGGGTGTTTCCTTATATTTTGACCCCTACCTACAGCTTTAGCTATACGAGGTGGAAAAGATCTTTAAATATGAAAGTTGTAGGGTTTTATGTCTGTTTCTTATATCAATGATAAGGCTTATGCTCAATGCAATTTCAAAATTAAATAGCATAAAAATAATTGAACCAAATATCAATATATATATGGTATATATTTGAAAACAGAAGAAAAAAATCTATCACTTTAACCAAAAATATACAGGGTGTTTGTCATTGTGACAGTTGGCACCTGTCATTTGCCCGTTTTGACATTCGTAAAAGATAATAGACATAAAACCCTACAACTTTTATATTTAAAGTTTTTTTCCACCTCGTATAGCTAAAGCTGTAGGTAGAGGTCAAAATATAAGGAATCACCCTGTACGTGTCGGATTGTCAACCATAATACATAGAACAGTTGACGAGTTTGCCATTATCAGGGGCGTCGCTAATTGGTATGGCGATATTGACATTAGAAATAAATTATTATATTGTCTAAACGTCACTGCTCCCCATCCGTTTACCCAGGGTAAGGTTTACAGTTCAGTTTACGCCTCTACCATTTCCGAATTTTGTCTACTGCGCAAATTGCTTTTTCGTCACCTTATTTTGCTGGACCAGTAAGTTTGAGTATAAAAATGTTCTCTCTGGATGAGACTGTAGAATCAAAAATGTCTTTGTTCTGTAGAACTTTGCTCTTTTGCTGAAGCCTGGAGGAATAGGATTTATCTTTGTTTTTAAATTAAATTAAAGACTGGGTATGTAATACAATTTTTTTATTCACAGTTTTCGAATTTACATAATTTTTTCATTCTAGGCACTTGATTTGGTTCTGGTAATTTTTCTTGAGAGGTAAACCTACCTTGAAAAATGTGTATAGGTACCAGAATCCCAGTTTCAATGAGTTTCCACGCAAACCTACTGGAATCCCATAGTATCCTACTGAAATCCAATGAAATTCTGCGAAGAATTCCATGAAGTTTCTTGTGAATTTTTAAAGAATTATTTTGAATACTAGCAAGCAAAGACTCTGGACAAAAAATTCTTGTTTTTTAGTTTAGCTGTCATGGGTATCAAATTGAGAACATTGTCTCATCAAGCAATTGAGGAATTCCATTGGAATCCTATTGGAATCCCACTGAAATCCCACGGAATCCGGCAAAATCCCGTGGGATTCCAGTGGAATACCGCGGGATTTTGCAATCCTACTGAATTCCCACGCAATTTTACTGGAGTCCAACGATATTCTACTAGATTCCTACGAAATCCTACTGGACTAGGACTGTGTAATGGATAGAGATCGTTATCCCCATCGCTATGAGACTTGCTATTCTCTTATCTCTTCTCGAAATAAATAGATAGGGGACGCCAATAGAGATAGGGAAAAGATCTCTATTCGTTACAGAATCCCCAGACTAGGAATCCAATAGAATTCCTTGAGAAATTCCATAGAATTTCTTGTCTAGTAAACATAGACTCTCGACCAAAAAGTCATGTTTTTCAGTTCAGGCACCACCATAGGTACCAACGACTTATCAAGGATTAAGGCATTCCATTGGAATCTTACTGGAATATCACTGAATTCCAATGAATCCCGGCAGAATCCTACGGAATTTCACTGGAATCACACGAAATCCTACTAAATTCCTACAGAATCCTACTGAACCTGGACTGTGTAATGGGTGTAGATCATTTTCCCCATCGCTATGACACTTTTAATACTATCTTTTCTCTTTTCGAAATAAAAAGATAGAGGATGCCAATAGAGATAGAGTAAAGATCTACCTATATTTGTTGTCCCAGCCCAGGAAACCAATGAAATTCCTCGAGGAATTCCATTAAGTTTCTTATGAACTTTGAAAATTATTTTGATCGCTAGCAAGCAAAGACTCTATAGACAAAAAAAGTATTGTTTTTCAGTTCAGCCGTCACTATAAACACAATTTAAATATATCGAGCCATCAAGCAAACTAAGGAATCCCAATGAAATCTTACTGAAATTCCACTGGAATTTCAAGAAGACACGGAATCCCACAAAATCCTACTGAAATCCCACAAAATCCTACTGAAATCCCACGCAATCCTATTAGAATTCCGTAGTATCCTACTGAATTCACATAGAATCTTATATTGGAATCCGATGATATTCCTCGAACAATTCCATGGAGGATTTTGTGAATTTTTAGAATTATTTTGAAAGTCTTGTTTTTTTAGTTAACTGGCCATTACATAGGTATGCAAATTAAAAACATCGATTCATCAAGCAATTGAAGAATCGCATTGGAATCTTACTGGAATCCCACTGGAATTCCACTATAATCCCATCGAACCATACTGAAATCCCACGCGATCCTATTGGAATCCCATAGTATCCTACTGGATTCCCACACAATATTATATTGGAATCCAATGGAATTCTTGGAGAAATTTCATGCAGTGGCGTAGCCAGACATTTTGTTTGAGAAGGGTCATACAAAAAAAAAAATATTGGAATATACACAATTTACAATTTTTGTTTATTATTTTTCTATTTTTCTCTGAAGCCTTAGGGGGGGGGGCGGACCTTCTGGCTGGAATTGCTTCTGAATTTTTAGAATTATTTTGAACGGTAGCTAGCAAAGACTTTGGACAAAAAATCTTGTTTTTCAATTCAACCGCCATTACATAGGTACAAACTAAAAACATAGACTTATCTAACGGAATCCCATAGAGTTCCACGGTATTCCACTGGAATCCTACTGAAATACCATACAGTCCTACTGAAATTCCACGGTATTCTGCTGGATTCAGTGCATTCTCACTGGAATCCAATGGAATTCTTTTAAAAAAATTTTTGAACGCTAGCAAGCAAAAATTTTGGACAAAAAAGTCTTGTATTTCAGTTTAGCCGCCACTACTGAATACATAGATATACTCATTATAAGCAAACTAAGGAATACCTTGGAAATTCCACTGGAAACCTACTAAAATTCCACGGAATCACAAGGAATTCCACCAGATTCGCACGAAATCTCACTGTAATCCCATGGTATCCTACTAGAATATTACGGAATTCTACTGGAATCCTATGGAATTTCTTGTGAATTTTTAGAACTATTTTGAACGCTAGCAAGCAAAGATCCTGGACAAAGAAACCTCTTGTTTTTCAGTTTAGCCGCCACTACATAGATACACACTAAATTGGATTTTTACTGGAATCCCACGGAATTCCACTGAAATCCCACGAAATCCTGCTAAAATCCCAGAAAATCCTACTGAAATCCCCTGCTGGATTCCTACGGAATCCTACTGGAATCCAATGGATTTTTTTGTGTATTTTTAGAAATATTTTGAACGCTAGCAACCAAAGACTCTGGACAAAAAAATTTTGTTTTTTTGAGTATAGCCGCCACTACATAAGTATACAAACTAAATACATACTCATCATAAACAAACTAGGTAAGGTATCCCATTGGAATCCCACAGGGTCCTTATTCTTGAAACAGGGGAGCAGCCTTCTCAGGAGAACGAGTGTTCCGTCTTCCTCAATGATATGCAAATGATAATATGAGTAACAAAGCCGGAATACTCGTTCTCCTGGGAATACTGCTTCCCTGTATCAGGAATAAGGACCCTGGAACTCCACTGGAATCCCACATATGCTTCTATATAATTCCAGCTCTGTTTCAACCGACATGTGAACCGTTCCAGAACCAGTAATTTCCAGTTGCCCACCTATTTTTCAATAAGTTGAACGTTTATCCTACTTGATAAATGAATTGATCGACTATGGAAATTACCATTCTAAAACGGTTCCTATGTCGGTTGGAACAGAGATTTCAGGCTTTTGAATACCTATTTTTTATTTTTATTTCTGGCTCCCATGAGTTACCTAATCTTTGTAGATATAGGTAACAGGTACCTACTTATATATTTTCGTTTGGAAGAAAACTGAAATTCAAGAATAGACGAAAGTTGATAAGGAAAAAATAGGAAATAAAGGGTAAAAGTGTAAGTAAAAATTAACACAAATTTGAAACGACGAAACATTTTAGGGCTCAATGATCTAGGTATAGTCTATCGTTTCTCAAATGAGACAAGGCAAAAATTGGGGTCTTCACAAATTATCGTATTGCACCTCAAAATTATTATACTATTATTAGGCAAAATATATTAAGCGTACCCGTATACATTGTATGCGAATCCACGTGCAAACAATGCATCTTATTGGTTGTTTTATATACAGTCAACGTTGACTCCAGGAATATCTTATTGTATTGGTTAGATTTTTTAGCGGCGTCTCTGGCGGCATATTTCTTTGAAGCGCCTGCCGCTTGCGAATCAGTTTCTTCTTGGAAGACAGTGCAGTAGATAGTTTTTATAAATTTAATTCCTATTTGAGTTGTATCGTGCCTTAGGTTTTATTTTATATAAAAATGTTTTAATAAATTTCTCTTACTCCGCCCGTTCTTCATAAAGAAAACGCCGACGGCCAGAAGAAATATTATTTTTTTTATTGTCTCATTTGACTATCGATAGACTATACTTTCACGGCTGGGGCATGCAAAACTACACTTTACCGCTCTTGGGAGTTAATTGTATATTACAATAATTAAAATATTAGGTAGAGATATACATGCTTCTTTTTGAAAAATAAATGTCTGTAATTTCTATTTCATAGTTTGCCGGTATTAAAAATTAAATTTCAATGTTCCCAAATCAAGTTCAAGAAAAAAAAGTGCGTGCATGATCAGCTTTATTCAAAGCGGCCAATAACTAAGCGGCCTTAGCCAATGCCTCTATAAACAAATCGAACGTTATTGGCGACTTAAAGCTAACCACACACGGACTAATGACTAATGATGCAACGAAAAACTGTAGTGAAGTTGAATTTTCATTATAAATATGTAGATACTTACGAGATCACAGATTAATTATGTCCAAAATAGAAAATTTTAATTAGTCACTTCATTTCCGACGGCATAAACATCAACAATAACAATCACAGAATAATTGACGAACCGAATAAAGTCAAAAATTAAATTATTTAAAGCCAATTAAACAATTGATTAGAGAAGTGTTCAGAGTCAATGAGCTATTACTAAGACGCGGTCTCGTCTTACTCACTCGCGCGAGTACAAAACCGGACTTTTCTATACAATCCGTTCGTGCTCAGTGAGTGTGTGTGTGAGTGTTGGTAAAACGCGAACCCAACTGCCAAAACCGATACCCTCCGGAATCCTAATATGACTATAGTAATACACCTTTTCTAGGTGTGCACGACTGTCAAGCTACGACCAATGGGTTAAAGGCGGGTTTGGCGGGTAGCCAATGAAATGGCTAGGCGGTGTGGCCTTAGCATCGATTTAGCCAACCAACGTGCTTATTCGTGCGTGATGTAAAGCTGCCGCTAAGAGGGAGCCACAGGGATCGTTTTCGCAACAGCCCCGAGGGTCGTCGTGTACACTTCCTGATGGGGGCCCCGCCATTTCTTTCGAAAACCATCTGCCGCTGATGCCCGGTTATTGGTATCAGGTAAAACTGATCCTATCCAATTAGAATGGTTACTAATTACTTATGCTTGAAGGTTAGGTTTTTTCCTCTTTACTTAAATGTAAAATTAGAAATATCATACCTATACTCATAAAGTGTTCCATATAAGGACACCTTACTATAGAAACTAGAAACTTTTATGGTTCATGCTTTACCTTTTTATGATTTTTTGTTCCATTTATGATCATGTTTCCAGTGAACATGATCATGATTCTAATGTTCATAGGTATAGAGATAGGTATTGCCAAATAATTGTCTTAAGCTAATCAAGCAAGAAATTGATGATTTAGTTGAAACTTTGATGATAATTACTCACCGGCTCTTGATTTGACTCGTTAGTTAATTTTTTTAAAGGCAATTAGGAGCCTTAAATAAGGGGTCCAAATTTTGAATATCAATGGAATAGGTCGGACATTAATTTGCTGAACGATTTTTTTGGATATAGGTACCTATACTAGGTAATCAAAAGCCTGTAGGTACATACCTACCACATTTTGATCAGTACCTACCAGTTCTTGATTCTTAATCTTTGGACATTTTTTCTATGGGGCATTAAGAGCCGGTAATAGTTCAAATTTTGATTATTAAAAATTCTTCATTGAATCAAGAATGAAGAATTTTTGTAAAGACAATCAAAAAGCTTTAACAGTCAAAGTTTCAAAAATTATTAGGTTTTGATCCACTGGACAATTTTTCTAGCGACAATCAAGAACCAATATTCCAAAGCTTATTTTTTGATCCCTATAAAACGGTTCTTGATTTGCTGGACTTTGAGAGCCAGTAATAGTTCAAATATTGAATATTACCGGCTCTTGACTCAATTGAACAATTTTACTAAAGACAATCAAGGGCCCTGTAACCTAGTAATTTTTTTTGAAAATTACTAGGTTTTGATTTACTAGACAATTTTTCTAAGTGTCAATCAAGGGCCGATAGTCTAAATTTTGATCATTACCGGCTCTTGATTTGCTGGACAATTTTTCTATGAGGCATTGAGAGCTAGTAAATAGTTCGAATATTGATTATTACCGGCTCAACTCAATGGACAATTTTTCCAAAGACAAACAAGAGCCTGTACTAGTCCAAGTTTTAGATATTATTAGGTTTTGATTCACTGGACAATTTGCCTAAGCGGCAATCAAGGGCCGATAGTCTAAATTTTGATCATTAGCGGCTCTTGACTTGCTTGACAATTTTCCTATAAGAAATTGTAAGCCGGTAGGTAATAGTTCAAATATTGATTGTTAGGTGACAGCTCTTGACTCAATGGACAATTTTTCTAAAGATAATCGAGACCCTGTAATAGTCCAAATTTTGAATATTACTGTAATCCACTGAACAATTTGTTTAAGCGAAAATCAAGGACCAAGGATCGATAGTCTAAATTTTGATAATTGCCGCGGCTCTTGACTTGCTGGACAATTTTCCTATGAGGAATTGAGAGCCGGTAATAGTTCAAATATTGATTGTTAAGTACCAGCTCTTGACTCAATTTTTCTAAAGACAATCAATAGCCTGTAATAGTCCAAATTTTGAATATTAATAGGTTTTGATCCATTAGACAATTTTTTTAGCGGCAATCAAGGACCGATAGTCCAAATTTTGAATTATAACCGACTCTTGATTCGCTGGACATTTTTCCTATGAGAAATTGAGAGCCAATAATGGTTCAAATATTGATTGTTAGGTAACAGCTCTTGATTCAATGGACAATTTTTCTAAAAACAATCAAGAGCCTGTAACAATCCAAATTTTGAATATTACTAGGTTGTGATCCACTGGACAATTTGTCCAAGTGATAGCAATCAATGACCGATAGTTTGAATATTGACCATTACGGACTCTTGATTAGGGATATGGGGAATTGAGAATCGATAATAATGGACAATTTATTTCAAAGACAATCAAGAGCCTGCAAGAGTGAACATTTTGAATATTGCTAGGTTGATCCACTGGACAATTTTTTTAAGCGGCAATCAAGTGCCGATAGTCCAAAGTTTGATCATTACCGACTCTTGATTGGCTAGATAATTTTTCTATGAGGCATTGAAAGCCGGTAATAGTTCAAATATTACTTATAATTATCGGCTCAACTCAATAATGGACAATTTTTCTAAAGACAATCAAGAGCCGGTAATAGTCCAAATTTTGATTATTACTAGATTGTAATTCACTGCTGGACAATTTTTCTATGAGGCATTGAGCCGGTAATAGATACCTCATTATACGTAGAATATGAGAAAACATCCACTGATCTAATAACAATTTGTTTACACGGAATTTTTGTCCACATACAAATCAGAGGACTATTATTTAGCGATTTATTCTCCATGCACACAAAAGCCGATTATCCCTGCTAACTAAATAAGTAACATATTGGACGACCCTGGCCGGGTCCCAAGACGCATCAAAGCCGAACTGATAAACGTTGATAGTGGACCAGAGATAAAAGATGGACGGGGTGAGATAAGGGTCAGTGAACATTATCATCCCCCCCGTTTCAACAATACAACACATTTGACATGTTCATTACGTACTGTGACGCGTATTAATGCCCTTATCATTTGATGAGTTTTTAAATTCCCCAGTGATGATGGGACGGTGTATGTTAGCAAAATACGTACAACAATATGATGAAATTTTGGGAAAGATTTTCTCTATGAATGCTACAACATAGAAGATCATCAATTTGCATATAACTATCATATAAAAGCCTCTAAAATATTCAGAATACAGGGTGCTTGGAAAAAGGTAAGTTTTTCTGAAATATAGTAAATGGTGTAACAACTAAAATATCTCTCAATTTAAAAGTCAATAACTTTTTTGGGAGCACTCTGTACAAAAATGAATCTATAGAATATGGCAGACAGCAGTTTATTGTGTTTCAAAGCCTGTATGCGAATTTAAAAAAAAAAATATAGGGTGAATCAGAACAAATATGATTTTATTTCCAAAAAAACAACCTCTTGCACAATTACTTTTTTTTTTTAAATATCAATGTAACATTAAATGTCCAATGAATTTTCAATGAAATTCCACAATTTCCCATACACAGGGTGATCAAACAAAGGTGAGGAATTATTGAAATATGCAACAAATTTTATACTGTATTAAATTAATTTCGACTTTTTGAAGTAGGTATCAACAAAACTTGGACTTTTTATCGTTTTTCATGAAAACACATCATTATTTCAACTGTAGGGTGTTCCATAAACCCGTTGTCTACCTCTGGAATGTATTTTATTGATTCATAAAGCTACCATCAAACATTTTCAAAGTTCTTTGTGGCAAGCCAAGCATCCTGGAAATAATTTTTAATATCCCATTTTTGGGAAAGTATTAATAACCCCCAGGGCCTCTACAATACATAGACGTAAGGAATTTATATTCGGGCGGCGTGTTATTGTAAATTTTCATGATCATTCTTCCAGAATGCGATTTCCCAAAACTTTTGTCTTATCGCCCGAACGTTTCCCTATAAACTTACCGAGTCTGTTGGGGATAAGTTTTATCTTATTCGTATATCAGAAGGTGGAATGAGCCGAAACTTAAACTTTTGATAATAATAAAATACCATTCCTTATATATCTATAAAAATCTTTGGGAACCCCTCGAATGGGAAAAAAGGTCTAAATCATTATGTCGATTTTAATGCCCAGATAACATATTGTAAAATTTGTATAATAGGCCCCGTATTTGTGTTAAACTGTTAATATTTCTCAATGGGCCTGGTAGGATGCATGCTGAGAAGTGGAGAACCCTTCAAAAGGTTACAAACAGGCATAGTGATTTATTGTATTATTGCCAGTTGCAATTTTAAAATGTGTATTTTTACAGTTTATACGTTCATAAAGGTACCTACATCCACAGGTGCATTTTAGCTAAAAGAAGCTTACATAATTCGATTAACCGACCATCGAATGTATTCACTTCATTTAGCTGGTCAATGATCCAATTCAATTCACCAAACAAGATCTATAATAGGGTTTAGATGTTCATTTTTAGATTGTACTTACTGTCATTCAGGTTTGATTGTAATTTGCGACATGCAATTAACGACTTTAATTGAACTTTTATTTATTGGGAAAATACCTATATAGGCAAATAGCTTGAATATTTTCTCATTATTTCCGCCAAGTCCACCTATGTTACTTCAGTTTTAGTTTAATTATTCAGGGAGTTTTAGCAAAACCGTACATTAATTTAATTCTTCAATTAAAATGTTTTGGTTTAAATATCCTAAACTGCGTTTATTTCGTTCAGAGCCAATAAGGTAATCCAAGAATCAAGAGAATTATGGATCAGATTTGATAAAAACTAGAAAACATTTGATCAAGAATTGTACAAAATATAACTCTATATCTTGATTACTCTCCGATTTTTACTGAGTTTGGTAGAATATTTTAATTTTCTTTGTAGCGTTTGAGATAACTTTTTATCGAAAATCATATATTCCTTCACTCAGTTCGTTTTACAAAATGCTTTGTTGTAAATGTTGTCAGTGCAAAAACTACCTGCCAATTTTGAAAAAAATCGCAAGGTAATTTAATACAAAATTAAATTTTTCTATTTCGGAACGTCGCCGCGAAAAAATTTGAACTTGTTTTCGAGCTGTCGCAGCCTATACGTGGAAAAAGGCATACTTATAATTAAATGCTCACATGCAGATTTTAAT